TTAGGTCACAGAGGTGCTTTTTTCAAAAGGCAGCTGGACTTTCTTTGTTTTTCCTTGAAGATGTTTCACTTCAGTTCTTCAGAAGAAGCTTCTTGGATGAGAAACAAAACATCTTCAAGGAAAAACAAAGAAAGTCCAGCTGCCTTTTGGGGGGGGGGGGGGGGGGAAGCACCTTTGGGACAACCACGGCCTGGACAACTGAGAATCTCCGTAGACTTTTAGGTCACAAGAGAGATGACCCTTTCTCTACAATCTAAGAATTAGGGTTTATTATTTTATTTTTTTAGAAAACAGCAGTCCCAAACACAGCATAGTAGCTGCTGATTTTTATCAGTGACAGCAACCAGGTACATGGATCAAATTTTCACACATCTTTGGGAAGCCTATTATGATTGGGGGAGGGGCTCATCCATTGAGGAGTAAGGCACTGCTTTACAATTAATTTAGAGTGTTTAATGTTATGCTTAAAAATCTGCAAGGAAGCACTAGGATACATCAGGTTATACTTAAGCAAAACTGACTCTTCCTGCCCAGTCAGCTGATCTAGGACTTATTTAAGGATCTCTTTCCTTTCTAGTATGTGGGATGTGATCAGGATAATAGTTTCTGCCACTTTGTAAAACTCCCTCCAGAAGTATAAATGACTTCTACTGTGTTACATTAAACAGATTAAATCTGTGTCCTTTCAGCAAGACTGCAGAACAGACTTGTTGGCAAAAACTTATATACAAGTCCATAGTAGGGACTACATTGTGCCAATAAGAACAACAGGTAGTTAGGGGTACTTGGTACTCTCTAAGCTCACACAAGGATGTCACACAAGGATGTGAAAACAACCAAGCTCAGAGAGTACCAAAAACGCCCCACTTCAGCCCTGACCTACAACTATTCTCCTTTATTGGTAACATGTAGTTATTTTACTACACAAATGAAGGCAAATATACATGTCCTAGGATCATGTTGCAGGGGTCCAATCTGGGTTGGCCACCTATACCAGAGATACTCTCTTTGCATTGTTGGGCTTTCAGGACTCAGTACATTTCCCCGCTCCTAATCAAAAGCTGGATGGGGCCATTATCTGAGCCCCTCCGGCTGTGTGGCTCCAGGTAGCATCAGTGTGCAGGCAATATTCAGTTGTGTATCTCAACCCTTGATCCTCAGGTGATGATATTATGGACTTATTCTAGTGCAGGAAGGCTGTTAAGAGTCTTTTGGTAGGCTGTGTGATCATTGTGTTGTTTCATTGATGCAGGTTCTTAATACTTCTATTGTGACTGTTTTCTCACTATTTTGTTTTAAATTTATTTATGATTTCCCATTATCTAAAAGTTGCTATGGTGATTGAGGTGGCTTATAAATTGAGTAAATAAATAACTCTTTCAGTTCTTAGGTGGTCTGATTGATAGAATCTACAGCTGGTGATATTTGTTATCACTCTTTGTTTTGTTTTTGTTTATTTGCTGTTGTACCCCAGAATCTTTTGAGATTTGGGTGGATTACAGAGATTGCTAATAAATAAACAATCAAGCAAGCTTCCGTTAGTCTTCATTTACTTTGCTGGATCAGAGTAAAGATTCAGCTAATCCCATTCTTGAGTGAATTTTATTTTTTTTTAAAAAAAAAAAACCAAGACTGCAGTTATTTGAGGCTCATAGAAGTAACATCAGGCAAGGTTAGATTTTGGTAGGGAGAGACCTAATAAAACACCCAAATCTCTGCAGTCAAGGATGGGTCAAGTTACATATTTGCATCACAACAGGCTAGAGTGAGCCAAAAGCTAAAACCAGAACCATGGATAGCTCCAAGCCAGCCTCTGGCCTTGAAATTCTCTTTTCATACATCAATAGGAGAAAATATCTCAACTAAAACCAATTGAAGCTTTAATTAGGCAGCCATAATAGAAGCATAATGAGCTCCATTCTCAGGGAGTTAAATGGATTGTTAAAAGTCCTTCTCTTGACTCTATATTCTCAAATTTGTGTATAAGACCAAAGAGATGGAGGTACCATTAGGGTTTTTTTCCTCCAGAACTGCAAGATTTTGTTTTCTGCTCGGGAAGATGCAGAATAAGGGGTGGATTATATTCTCCTCTAAGCCACCACCTGCGCCTTGTTCACCATGGAAGGTCTGATGGTTCATGGGAAGAAAAATGCTGTCTTTCAAGCAGGTGTTCTACTTTTTTAAAAAGGTGGTTTTATGTATTTTCATGTACCTTAAAGTGGTAATTAAAATGACTGCTTTAAAATGCAGGTGATTTTGCTGCATCACTTATACTAAATTAGGAAATGAAAAGTTGAGGCACATAGATTGAAATATTTTATTTTATTGACCCTATGCAATGTAATGTTATTAAAATAAGGGCACAGGCTAGGTTCTGTCTATCGGTGAAATTTTTCAGGTACTTGGTTCTCGGATGGGACTGTGTGTGTGAAAGAAAGTAATGTCAGTTGTATAACCAAGACTTGTTATAATAAAATAGTTGTTAAAAGGTTTGAGGAAGGGGATCCTTTATGCCTTATACTAAACCAAGGGTCCTCAACCTTGGCAAGTTTAAGACTTGTGGGCTTCAACTCCCAGAATTCCTGAGCTAACATGACTGGAGGAGGAATTCTGGGAGTTGAAATCCACAAGTCTTAAAGTTGTCTAGTTTGAAGACCCTTGTACTGAACTCTTGAGAGTTATCTGGGTGCTGACAAATACAGGTAGTCCTCAACTTACAGCCATAATTGAGCCCAAAATTTCTGTTGTTAAGTGAGGCATTTGTTAAGTGAATTTTGCCTCATTTTATGACCTTTCTTGCCACAATTGTTAAGTGAATCACTGCAGTTGTAAAGTTAGTAACATGATTTGTAAGTAAATCTGGCTTTCCAGTCTTGTTTGTCAAAAGGTTGTAAAAGATGATCTCATGACCGGAGCACATTGCAGCCGTCATAAATATGAATCAGTTGCCAAGGGTCTGAATTTTGAACACATGACCATGGGGAAGCTACAGTGGTCGTAAATGTGAAAAACAGGCATAAGTCACTTTTTTTCAGTGATGATGTAACTTCAAACACTCACTAAATGAACTGCTGCAAGTTGAGCATTACCTGTATGCTATTACAATGAAAAAAGTGAGTGAAAATCTGTAATGTTTCGAGATAATGGGGATAGCAATTAGCCCGAAATCCATTTTGGTATGATAGATTGTTGATGGCTTAAAAAATAATCCAGGCATCATAAGAGAGAAAGAGAGAGAGAAGATAAAAGGAAGAAAAGAAAGTGGTGGAATTATTTGAAATCAAAGGAACATTGTTTTTCCATCTTCCTCCTACTCTTACTGTTCTTAAAGGCTCATTAAAAACAGATTTATTTTGGCTTTTGAGAGCACTGCAGTAGATCTTTGGGATCTTTACGTTCACGTTGAATTTTGAGAAAATCTAAATTTTTGAAAGATGGTTCTCAATACCATAATCCTGAATACTTTAAAAAAACAAAACACCCCATTGTTTGGGTGGGAAGAGTTGTATAGCAAGAGTGAGATAAGAGTTTTTGTGTATAAGGCAGGAGAAGCTTGGCAACCATAGCTGTGTCTACTGCAAGGAAGCTGCATCAAGAGACAGTTTTTGTTTATTACCAGCTGGGTGCTGTTAAGAAGGGGAGTCCCCCCCCCCAAAAAAGCCTTCTGAGATATGATGTACTGTGTGCGTGTTTTCTAGGATTAAAAGGAAAAGGAAACCTAAAAAGAGATGTGTTATTCTCCCATGAGGTTCTAGAGGTGTGAATACAATTCTCCTAGGATCTGTAGGGTGACGATATTTTCTTGACAATATGCCTTTTGAGCGGGGTGGACAGCTATGGCAACTTTACGATCTGTGGACTTCAACTCTCAAAATTCTTGAACCAACCACACTCGGTCAGGAATCTCTGGCAGTTGAAGTCCACAGTTGCCATAGTTGCCCGCCCCTGCTTTTGAGACTCACTCACTGCCTTCACCCGCCTCCCTAAATAATTTTGTGATCCCTCCACAGTCCCAGTCAGCAGGACTTCCAAGGCACGTGGGTTTATTCTGGGTTTAACACAAAATGCATTTTATATTTCTGGCATATCCGTAATGCAAAGCATATGTGCTGCAGTATATGTTTAAGTTATTGCAAAAAAGCAGCTCAAGGTGGTGTGTGTGTGTGTCTATGTCTGGTTGTGTGTGTTTCAGCTTTGAACCAGTGATTGAGTTTTTTTCACCCATTTCTCCACTTTCCAACTCTAAACATCTTTTTGGTTTGCTTGTTTGTTTTAAAGAATTTACAGGACTGCCAACTTGAACAGTGTATCAACTCATAAAATATTTCTATGGTCTTTTTAGAATTGCCAACAGAAAGGGAGGGGGGAGCAGCGCAGCAGCTTGCAAACCAAAACTGCATCCCATAAATGTTTTCAAAGATAGTAACTAGGTGACCGAAGTTTCTGCCTTGCAAAATTCTAACTGGAGAGCATGATTGATGACTCTTGGCTATGGATGTTTCCCATTGGAGAATATGAATTATGATATACCCAGGGGGTGGGGGGAAAACCAGGGTAAAGGGTGACAGTGAATAATGTGTCTCAGAGTCGGCTACACCCAGGCAATGCCGGACCTTTTAACTCCCAGTAAATCCTTTTGAAGTTTTGGAAGTTTGGCTCGAGACTTATGATTTAAATGGGGTTAAGTGCCGGAATCCTGACAGTGAGTTTCGGCAGCTTACAAGAAACAACCAGGGTAAAAATGGCAAATAGCAATAAAAAATAATAAGCAGCTTTATTCCAAGTCTGTTTGTTAGTACCTTAGCTTGCCAGTCTTGATAGCTGTATCTCTGACAGCCTGGGATTGAACCTGAACCTTGCTCAATCTTGCACATTCATTATGCTCAGCACTCAGTCTCCATCTACTGAAAATTTAACAGGAAGCTTTCGGTTATCCCTTCCTAACTAGCATGAGAACACTCCTTTTCTCTCACTTAATCTCTCCATTTTGTGTTTTCTAGTTACAGCTACAGAAAACCCAGTATTTGCAGTTGGGGCAGACCCGTGGCCAGTACTATGGAGGATCCTTGCCAAACGTCAATCAGATTGGCAGCAGTGCAATGGACATATCCTTCCAGGTGAATTTTATACCAGCTCTGCTCAGAAGAATGACGGGAACATTAGAAACCAGTGTCTGTGACCTGTACCAAAAGTTAAATGTGTCCCTATAAATTACAAGGTAGTCCTCGATTTACGACCACAACGAGCCCAAAATTTCTGTTGCTAAATGAGACCGTTGTTAAGTGAGCTTTGTCCCATTTTACCACCTTTCTTGCCACAGATGTTAAGCGAATCACTACAAGGGTTAACCTAGTAACACCCTTAAGTGAATCTGGCTTTCCATTGATTTTGCTTGTCAGAAAGTCGCAAAAAAGTGATCACATGACCCTGGGACACTGCAACTATCATATGCATGAATCGGGTGCCAAGCGCCTGATTTTTGATCACATGACCATGGGGATGCTACAATGGTCATAAGTATGAAAAACGGTCGTAAGTCATTTTTTTTGGTGTCCTTGCAACTTCAAACAGCCAGTAAATGAACTGTTGTAAATCACGGACTACCTGTATGTGCGTCTAAATATTAAATATTTTGAGAAAATAGAGGTTTCATGCTCTTTTTACAATGCCAATTTCCCCAGAGGTGAGACTGTCACGTGAGTTATCTCCCTCCAGCAGCCTGATCCTGTGGTGGGACATGCAGTAGGTTGTGTTTTAAGCTCTTTCTCTGTCTTTTCTTTAGACTCCCTTTCAGCCATCTGGGTTGGACACCAGTAGGACAACTCGACACCATGGGCTGGTAGACAGGGTATATCGTGATAGGAATCGCCTTGGATCGCCACATCGGCGCCCTCTCTCTGTGGATAAACATGGCAGACAGATATCCTTTGATTTGATAAAATGGCATGAGTAGGACGGGGTAAGCAGGAACGTTCTTAGATCTGTAGATGATTTTTATTAGATGAGCGAGGGTTGAAAAATGGTGATGACAAAACGCTTTTCCCGCTCCTCTTTAAAATAGAGTGATTAAATTAAGCTGGGGAGGATGAAGTACAGACTTCTGTTATTTCAAAACAATTCCTTGGCTAAATAAGCCTGAATTTCAAGGCACTTGTTCTTTAATCAGCCTTTTACGCTTTTAATGGGCATATAAATAGAGTCAAGTGGCTTTGCTCTAGCTGAATCTGCAGTGTTGTCACCTGACTATTTCTGTTTGGTTATATATCATTGTTTTATGTGATCCTGACTGGTTGGGATCACTAAGAGAACACAGCAGTCCTGGAAAAATAATGGCATCACACTAACAACAAGTCATTATTTGTTTCCAAAAGAAGAGAACTAATAGGGCAAAAGGTGTGGTGTTTTTTTAAAAGAATTCTTGAGGGAAAGACACATCTAAAAACCATTTCTCCCTTGACTGACTGATTTACGTGGACAGCTGTCCATATGGTACTGTCTATCTGTCTCCTCCTTCAGATACAAGCTGGAGAAGGTATGTATACGATAATTTTGAAATACAAAAATCTAACTTTTCAGTTCACACAGCAATCTCTAAAAGCATATTTTTCACCCAGTAAAGAATATATTATATATCATATCATCCAAGAAATATTTATTTACCTATCCAATTTATGCAGCCAACCAGATTCACTCATTGAGAGGGGCAGACATGTAATTCGGATAAAAATATTTGACAAAACAATTATAATCATTAGCTTAACTGTTCAAGTATATGTCTGTGTGTTTAACTATTTATTTATTTTATTTATTTATTTTTGTCAATTGCTTACAAGATAATAGGTATAAGTAAAAACATAGTTATGAATACATGGATACATATAAGAAAAATAAAAAAATAAAAGAAACAGTACGGTAGGCACGTTGGTGCGCTTATGCTACAGACCTCTTAGGAAAGGGGTGAGGTCAATAGTAGACAGTCTAAGGTTAAAGTTTTGGGGGTTTGGGGAAAAAAACCACAGAGTCAGGTAGAGTATTCCAGACATTGACCACTCTGTTGCTGAAGTCGTATTTCCTGCAATCAAGTTTGGTGCAATTGACCTTGAATTTGTATCTATTGTTTGCTCTTGTATTGTTATGGTTGAAGCTGAAGTATTCATTGACAGGTAGGACATTGCAATGTATGATTTTATATACTATACTTAGATCGGACCAAAGGCGGCGTAGTTCTAGATTTTCCAGGTCTAGAATTTTCCAGGTCTAGAATTTCGAGTCTGGTGGCATAAGGTATTCTGTAACGAGTAGAGGAGTGGTGAACTCTTCTTGTGAAATATTTCTGGACTTTCTCAACTGTGTTAATATCAGATATGTAATGTGGGTTCCAGACTGATGAGCTGTATTCGAGTATTGGTCTAGCAAATGTTTTGTATGCTCTAGTTAGTAGTGTGATATTACCAGAGAAGAAGCTATGTAAGATTAGGTTAACAACTCTTAAATGCCTTTTTGGCTGTGTAGTTACAGTGGGCTCTAGCACTTAGGTTATTAGAGATGAGTACTCCAAGATCCTTGACAGAGTTTGGATCATCAACAAGGTCTTGACTATTGAGCCTGTATTTTATTTTCTGATTTTTTTTTGCCAATATGTAGGACTGAGCATTTATTTGTTGAGATTTGAAGTTGCCATTTGTTTGACCATTCTGATACATAGTCAAGGTCTAGCAGTATTGTCTGTGGTGTTGAATAACTTTACATCATCAGCGAAGAGAACGCAGTTGCTCTTGATATGATCACAGAGGTCATTTATGTAGAGTATGAAAAGAGTTGGTCCTAGAACACTGCCTTGGGGGACACCACTGTTGACAGGTACAGAATTTGATAGGACGCTCCCAATTTTGACCATTTGTTGTCTGTTTGACAGGAATGCTTCTATCCAGTTATGCAGGTGTCCAGTAAAAAATTTAAAAGCTAGTAGACTGCGAATCCTGGACCATATCTTATTTGATTAAATTTACCAAGAGCTTAAATGAGGCATGGCATTAAATAAGAACCCAGGTTAGGATTAGTAATGGTTTACTACCACAGTTAACTAATCACCAGAATTAAATCTGGGTTTGAAATGTGGGCAGTCCTTCCTAATGACACCTAAAGTGTATCTGAAATGGTTCAATCTAGTATTCTAAATTTATCTGCATATTCATGAAAATTGGTATCTTTCTCCTCACTACTTCTAAGGCAGGTAACAATTAGTATAAATATTTCACATAGTCAAAACAACATTAACAAAACAAATTAAAAACCACAGCGGCAGAATGAAATAATTTTAAAAGCCTAGGAAATTAATCTCTCTCTGAACATTTGGTTTCCCTGATATATAATATGAGGAAAACATTCCAAAGCATTCCAGAGGTAGGATAGATTGACCACAGTGGGGTCCTTGGTGCTCACTGAGTTTGTTGTTTTCTTGCAGATGTTTCATTACTTAACTAGGTAACATCTTCAGTGCTAGAAGGGAATGGGCTTTGCTCTCTGTTTAAATACTAGTGGCCACATGTTGACCATAAGTTGAATAATCACGGAGGACATCTAATTCAGTCCAGTACTCCACGCAAATTCTGCAGTCCAGGATTCATCTTCCATGTCTTCAAAATAGCTTCAGTTGAAATATCTCTAGCAGGAAAACCCTCCAGCTTCAGTAGCATTTCCCTGATTTTTAAATATTTCCCTGGCTTAAGATCCTTCCTTAAATTTCTTCCCAGCAAGGTCCCCCCACCTAATTCCACCCTCTGAAGCAGTGGAGATTGCTCTATCTTTTTCATTACAATCCTTCACATATTTAGAGAGAGTCCTTAAACATTTCTAAGACAGACAAAAACAGAAATGGCTTCCAAATTGCAATCTGCTTTTTTTTCTAGAAGGCAAGGAATAGAACTTCAGAAATAACACTACTGGTGATACCAGTAGAAGGGTAGCCTCATATGTATGACCGTGGTCTTTGATCAGTACTCTGATCTCAATGTACATACAATTGTAAAAGTAAGGAGCAACATTTTGAACGTTGATGGCAAGAAAGAGTCAGATATTTTAAGGAAGAGGGTTGCAATCAAGATGGGGATAGTTATAAAAGACACAATCACATAAATTCACCTAGTATTGCTGACATATATGTTTCACAATAGAAATAAGATAACCTTTATTGCCACTTTTTTCTGTGAACACACTATACACATACAAACACACACACATACCTACATGCTATACACACATGTGCACACATACCTGCATGCTATATATATACACACACACACACATGTTGTTGTTAGTTGCAAAGTCATGTATGACCCATCATGACCCCATGGACAACGTTCCTCCAGGCTTTCCTGTCCTCTATCATCCTCCAGAATCCATTTAAGATCACGCTGACTGCTTCAGTGACTCCATTCAGCAACCTTATTCTTCTTCTTTTGCCCTCAATCGTTCCCAGCATTAGGCTCTTCTCCAATGAGTCCTTCCTTCTCATTAGGTGGCCAAGAGTTTCATCTTCAGGATCCAGCCTTCTAAAGAGCAGTCAGAGTTGATCTCCTCTAGGACTGGCCGGTTGGATCACCTTGCAGTCCAAGGGACTCGCGGGAGTCTTCACCAGCACCATAGTTCACAGGCCTGAATTTTTTGACGCTCAGCCTTCCTTATGGTCCAACTTTCACAGCCATACATTGTAACTGGGAAAACCATGCCTTGACTCTACACACTTTTGTTGGCAGGGTAATGTCTCTACACACACATACCTGCATACACCCACTTTACTTTAGCTGCTATGAATTTAGAACAGATCTCTGCAGTCAGTTTGAATGGCTTGCTGTGCTCATGAAGGTGAAAACAGCCCTTTTAGGTATTCCAGTAGTTCGCCATTTGTATCACTTGCATTATGCGTGGATATCAGTTCATAAAGAACCATGGCTATAAACGCTATCCAAGGCAGAGTATATTATGGAATATAAGGAATACTTAGCAGCTCCAGAGCTAAATATTTACCTTTGGTAAAAAAATGTATGCATTGCAAATGCGTCAGATACTTGGCTAGTATTTTAACAGTTTTCTTCCCCTTTGTCACTAGGACCAATTCTGATTCTGCCCTACACCAGAGCACAATGACCCCTACTCAGACAGAGCCTTTCTCAGCTGGGTCACAGGATATGCAGCAAAAAAGAGGTGATTAAAAAAAAAAGCAAGCACAATCCAGGAGTTGTGAAAAAAAAAGCTGCAAATTTGCCTGTAAACTTTGTTAGAGGTGGGTGGGGGGAAGAATTAGAGAGATGCAGAGAAGATTGTGAAATTTCACATTAGAAAAATGTCATCCAAAAGCTGAAGTTATTTTGGCTATTTATGTATTTGATCCTGAAGAGGAATTAGAAATGGACTCGCTGAAAATACTGGAAAGTATGCTAATGCTCATGTTCATACAAAACAAAGATAATGTATCATAACGAATCATGACAAATAATAGTTGGGTTCCTCTCCCATCCCCCAAATTCTTGAATCTCCAAATAAATAAATAAAGTGAATAGAGTAATTCAAATTACTAGGCTAGTAATGTGATCAAGTCCAAGGCAACTTCCTATATTCATCTGACTTTCAGGGATATGCTGAGAGGATCAGCATTTAAGAGTACAACTCTGAACTTTCAGCTATTTCTCAAGAGTCATACAATGATATAGGTCAGCGGTCGCTAACCGATGGGCCACGGCCCATTGGTGGGCCGTGAAAATTTTTTGGTGGGCCGCAGAGAAATCTCACCCCCAGAGCACCCCCACAATGCAATTAATCCAGGTTGTGCAGAAACACAAGGCTGCCCCTCCCCTATGGCCCGCGGGAACCCTCCCCGCCCACTCATTCCTTACCCGGTAAACTTGCCTGCTAAATTGCTATTTTTCCTTTTTCTGACTATCATCTGTTCTGCTGTGCCAGGAGATTTAGATTAGCTAGGAAGCAGGAAATGGTTGGATTTCTTGCTTTCTAGCTAGTCTTTAGCTCTTCGGCTCAGCACAGCCGAACCTCCCTTAGGACTGAAGGTTTGCTTGTAAGCAAATTCAGTGCAGACTCACGGCAAGCACATTTGAGAGACTGAGCTAACCGATGGCAGATAGATAGATCATTGAATGATTCTGTGAGCAACTTAATCTGCCTGCTTTGCCTGATTTTGGGTAAAAGTTGCTCTTTTTTTTATAAAAAATTCAATATTTACATGCATGGTGTGTTGTGAGTTAATTTTGTGAGTTTGCTTGCTAGCAAATTTTATGAATTTGCTTGCTTGCTAGCAAATTTTATGAATTTGCTTGCTTGCAAGCAAATTTTATGTGACAGACTGAGCTAGCCGATGGCAGATAATAGATCTCTGAATTAATCTGTGATTCTGTGAGCAACTCAGTCTGCCTGCCTGCTTTGCCTGATTTTAGGTAAAAGTTGTTCTTTTTTTAATAAAAAATTCAATATTTATATAAATATTTATAATATTTACCTACAAGCCATGCCCAGCCAGTCACATGACCACCAAGCCATACCCACAAATTATGCCACGCCCTCAGAACCGGTCAGTGGTCCCTGGGATCTAAAATTATGAGTTTGGTGGTCCCTGAGGTCCAAAAGGTTGGCGACCCCTGATATAGGTAAGCTAGTGTCCATCATATCTGAACTTCACACCAAGTTAGTATTAAAGTTGGATTTGGCCTACTACTTGTTTCTTGCTGACAAGTAGCAGCCCTTCTGGACTTCTTGATGTGTTTTTTCTAAATTGAAGATGCCAGAAGTTTTGTCACTGAGCTGTGTATGATCTTTGAAAAATGCCCTCTGCTGAATGTAACTCTACCTGAGTAACAGCGGCCTTTACTTTCCTGATAAGAGTGAATCGATCTTCAAGTCTTGGTCTTCTTCCCTCCCCGCTGTAGCCCTTCACAACTGTCCACTTGCTTCACATGAGCTTTGAAGAGTGGAGGGACTGTATACAGGCACACAAGCCTTCTCTGAGTTTTGCCCTCACTGTCCTTCTAAAAGGATTTTTACTTAACATTTCTTTGATTGTGAGGAAAATGTTTCCTAATAAAAGCAGAGCGTTCAACTGTGCTGAAGCTTCTTCTTTTATTCGAATGATGGGGGAATCCCTTTTGTTCCCTCCCTTCAATATTGGGATCAGAAACTGAGGAGGTGATGTGAGGGACACAGCCTGCCTCCATTTTTAGCATGCACAAGAACTATAAAGTTAAGAGAGCTCATAGAGAACAAAAGAGATGGGATAGCCCTACAAAGAATCCTTTCTACTCACTTCTCCTCTTTCCCAGGCATTTTCAGAGCACACTTGGCTGATATATTCTTTCTCACACTATAGTCTTATTACTGACGGTTCCAGGCATGGAGGAAGATGCATCAGAGACAGAGAAAAATCTTTCAAAACAAGGATGGGATGCTAAGAAGGTACTGGCACTAATTTTATGGAGTATATGAGCTACGGACACCATTGAACTGTCAGAGATAGCAAAGCTTTCTTCTTAGAATACAGCACATACATAGAAGTGAAAGGAGCTACTTCAGACTTTAAAGTGAATAGTATGTTTGGTGTATAAACCAGGGCTGAAATTCTGTAAATGCTTTTTAATCTAATTTTCAAGCAGCCAGAAATGGAATTTTGTGTAACCGATTATAGCATATTCCAACAATTTGGTTTTCTGTCATGCCTGGTTTCTCAAGGGAGAGGGGGCAACATAGAAATCCCCCTCTTTCACATCCCAGCTCCCCAAAAATATGATTTTTATCATCCACCGCACTCTCCATTCATGTGAAAGCATGTGTGGTAGAATTGGCAGCTGAAGTGGAAGGTGGAGTTAAGGGACTGGTTAGCTTTCAATTCCTGCAAGGGAGGAAGTGACAGAAACCCTACCCCACTCTCTCACCCTTCTAAATCCTTGGAGTGCTTATCTGGTTGTTCCCAAGAGAGTGAAGTCAGTTTGGTGAGATTCTTGTAAATAGGCGAGCAGCAATAAAGAAACTTCTCTGATCAGCTAACGGTGTTGTCCTGAATCCTTGCACCTGACAGCATGAAATAATTGGTTGTTAGTTGGAAAAGGTAGACTAGGAGAATCTCCCAGTTCTTCCATAGAGACATTTTTTCCATCAGTAAATAAGTGCAGTTGCAGTACAGCTGTCTGGGTTGGTCCAGATGGGAAGAAGCTTGACATCTCTTCTTTGATATAATGACCTTTTGTTTGTTTTTGCAGCTGAGTGTCTCATGCTGACCTACTCTTCTCTGTTCTCTTTCAGACAGGATCCTCAAGGCCTAAATCTTGTGAAGTTCCAGGAATCAAGTATGTTTAAGGGGAAGGGTATATTTGCTTTCTGGGTAAATATGAAATCAGCATCATCATTTTGTGAAAACAAATCTGTGTCCTTTGGTGTGTATGTGTTTTTAGTAGAATGGAATAATTGAAAAGCCCAATGTAATGGCTTGCAATAATTTTAGTAGTTGCAGTTCAATAAGGAATAGCAAGAATAGCAAAGCAAGATCATGCCTCTTTTATATCTGGCTTAGCACATTTTCTGCAATGCCTGAAATAACAAACCATGGTTTTTTGATGTTATTGCAAGTCACGCTCCCTATTAAATAAAGTTGGGGATTGTAGTTGTATCAAACAATTCACACTTAATACAGTTCTCTATAATTCAAGTCAAACATTGTGGCTTATTGTGATAGAGATAAGATTTGACATTAGGGACACGCACAAAATAGGAACGTTGCTTTATTTCAAACCTGAAATAAGTGATTGTGGCCCAGAAGTTCAGCTGAATAGAAATTCAGAACATTTTACTTGATGGGAGTTTTGGCTACTCCCCCCCCCCCCCCCCCTAACCTAGAGTCTTCTTAATGGGGTAAATATGATCTGGGTTTTAAATTGTACTCAGGGCAGATCTTGTTTGTAGAAACCCTCCAATTTCTGTAATAGGCACTTAGCTTGATTACATTTTTTTGAGAAATCTTTAAAAATAATTATCATTTTCTAGAAAATTATTTTAAATACCTATCTATTTAGACTCCATTGTATTAGATAGCTAACTTCTGTTAAGATGGTGGTTGTTTATAAGTGCTGTCTTGAAGAAAATCCTTACTTTTTGCAAGAAAGGAGGATGCAGTAGATTAAATTGTCATGATCCGGATTCCAGGCAGGAATCATCACCCTGTTTATCCCAAAGGTGCTTTTTTTCCCAAGAGGCAACTAGATTTTCTTGTTTTTAAGAGTTGTGGTGGTGCAGTGATTAGAAGGTAGTACTTCAGGCTACTTCTGTTGACTGCCGGCTGTCAGTAGTTTGGCAGTTTGAATCTCACCAGACTCAAGGTTCACTCAACCTTCCATCCTTCCACGGTGGGTAAAATGAGGACCCAGATTGCTGAGGAGCAATATGCTGATTCTCTAAACCACTTAGAGCAGTGGTCACCAACTGGTGGGCCGTGGCCAACTGGTGGCCACGAGAAAATTTTGGTGGGCCGCAGAGAAATCACACCCCCAGGGCACCCCCACAAAGCAATTGATCCAGGCTGCGCAGGAACACAAGGCTGCGCCGCCCACATGGCCCGCAGAAACCCTCCCTGCCCACTCCTTACCCGGTAAACTTGCCTGCTAAATTGCTATTTTTCCTTTTTCCGACCATCAGCTGTTCTGCTATGCTGGGAGGTTTAGATTAGCTAGGAAGCAGGAAATGGTTGGATTTCTTGCTTTCTAGCTAGTCTTTAGATCTTCGGCTCTGCTTTTAAGCACAGCCGAACCTCTCTTAGGACTGAAGTTTCTATTCAGTGCAGACTCACAGCAAGCAAAGTTTATGTGACAGACTCGGGTAGCTGATGGCAGATAGATAGATCACTGAATGATTCTGTGAGCAGCTCAATCTGCCTGCCTGCTTTGCCTGATTTTGGATAAAAGTTGCTTTTTTATTAAAAAAAAAATCAATATTTACATATATGGTGTGTTGTGAGTTAATTTTGTGAGTTTGCTTGCTAGCAAATTTTATGTGACAGACTGAGCTAGCCGATGGCAGATAATAGATCTCTGAATGAATCTGTGATTCTGTGAGCAACTCAATCTGCCTGCCAGCTTTGCCTGATTTTGGGTAAAAGTTGTTCTTTTTTTAATAAAAAATTCAATATTTATATAAATATTTATAATATTTACCTACAAGCCATGCCCAGCCAGTCACATGACCACCAAGCCATACTCACAAATTAGGCCACGCCCACAGAACCGGTTAGTGGTCCCTGGGAACTAAAATTATGAGTTTGGTGGTCCCTGAGGTCCAAAAGGTTGGCGACCCCTGGACTAGATGGTGAAGAATGGAAGGATTTATACTCCTTGGAGACAGCTGGTCATTTGCATTCTTTTAGCGAGTCATTAAGGCCACCTGGAGGTTAATTTTTTTGACAATTTTCTAAAAGGATGCAAATGACCAGCTGTCTGCAAGGAGTATATATCCTTCCATTCCCCACCATCCAGTCAGAGCTGAAGAAGCTTCTTGGATGAGAAGTGAAACGTCTTCAAAGAAAAACAAGAAAGTCCAGTTGCCACTTGGAAAGAAGAAAAAAGTACCTTTAGGACAAGCATGACTTGGATGACCTGAGAATCTCCACAATCGCTCTGTTTACTTCTGTGAGTTCCAATAAATCAGTAGGCCTTGGCCTACATTTAACGAAGTATCCTTTTCTCTTGTCTTTGTCATCAATGCAGCATCTTTCCATCAGCTGACCAAGAAAACACTACTGCCCTTATCCCTGCGGCTCACAACACCGGGGGCTCACTGCCAGACCTGACAAATATCCACTTCCCTTCTCCTCTCCCAACACCGCTAGACCCAGAAGAGTCCACTTTTCCCTCCTTGAGCAGTTCCAACAGCACCGGGAACCTCACTGCCAATCTGACGCACATGGGGATCAGCACAGCCAATCAGGGTAAGGTGTTTGCAGGCCCGTACAAATGCATTCTGGCACGACATCTTGCAGTCTTGCCCATGTTATTTATTTTCAGCCAGGCAGGACTGTTTTCTTAGTGATGACTGGACTGGAAAAAAAAGTGACTACAGCTGGTCCCTCATACTTATAACCATTGCCGCAGCCTCACAAAATTTGGGCACATGGCAACCTGGCATGTATTCACACCAGCTGCAGAATCCTGGGATCAGGCAGTCCTCATTTGCAACTTTCCCAGCAGGCGTTTGACAAGCACAATCAAGGAGGCAAGTAGGATTCACTTAACTGCAGTGATTCGCTTAACAACAGTGGCAAAAAGGTTGTAAAATCTGGCACAACACACTTAACAACCAGTTTGCATAGCAACAGAAATTCTGGTCCCAGTTCTGATCGTAAGTTCAGGACTACCTGTATTAGGGTTGGGGGCAATTTGCTTTAGATTTTCTTTATCCCATCTTTTTTATTTTTATAAATAACTCAAAGCACAAAGATACCTAATATTAAATACTTAGACCCACTCCCAGCCTGAAACCATCCAGATTCGTTTGACTGTGACGTCTTATTCAGCATGCTGCCTGATAATCATTGATATTTTAATGCACAGCAGATCTGGAGGGTACAAGTTTGGGGAAGAGTCATTTTATTGATTTATAAAATGTGTATGCTGTTCACCTCACTAATCAAGTGTCTCTAGAGATTGGAGGAGGAGCAAAACTCAGGTCCTCCCTCCTTTGAAACATTTGATTCAGTTTGATCCCGATGACATTTTCAAAAGCTGTTTTTCAAGCCTGTTTTGTGAGAAAAGATGTGATAGAAATATTAATAGTATTCTGACTCTGCCCCATAAGAACAGAGGTAGCTCTCGGCTTTCAACAACAATTGAGCCCAAAATTTCTGTTGCTAAGCAGGACGTTTGTTAAGAGAATTTTGTTCCACTTATGAACTTTCTTGCCACAGTTGTTAAGTGAATCACTGCAGTTGTTAAGTCAGTAACACAGTTGTTAAGTGACTCTGGCTTCCCCACTGACGTCGCTTGTCAGAAGGTCACAAAAGGGGATCACATGATCCCAGGACACTGCAACTGTCATAAGTATGAACTGGTTGCCAAGCACCTGAATTTTGATCAGATGACCAGGGGATGCTGCAGTGGTCATAAGCGTTAAAAACGATCATAAGTCACTTATTTAGTGCTGCTGTAACTTTGAATGGTCACTAAATGAACTATTGTAAATCAAAGACTACCTGTAGTTTTGAAAATCCTTCTGGAAAATCCCTCTGAAATCTGACTGCTCCTGATCATTTTCTCTGTTGGAGACAGGAATGACAACGTCGTCAGCCTCTTCCCAGCAACACCGGCAGCCAACCGTCAGTCCCCTCTCACTGAACACAGATTCAAGGAGAAGCCAATCCCAGCAAGTGTCTCCTACGCTTTCCCCTCTTTCACCGATTACTCAGGTACAAGAGGGAATTCTACGGGGGTGGAGGGTGGGGTGGGCTTGAAAGCTGTTGCATAATAACATCGTAGACCCAATCCGTAATGAACGATCCAAACTGGGAACCTTTGCCAGTATAGCAACTCTGATAATAATGTTGCTTGAATTTGTAATTTTCCCTTCAACTGTAGATTTGGTGGTTTTGGGAAGGATAAACCAGTTATAATTCCATATTGTCCCTTCGATTGAGGTTATTTAGCCATATCTAGGTGGCATGCCAAACCACGATGGGCAATCTGTTACCCTCCAGATTTTGGATTTCATCAACCATCATGAGATTCGCCTTCCAAAATGCCAACTTCTGGTTATCTTTGCACTGAGCCATTTTAAATGTACTTGTGTGGAAATCAGACATTCTATATGCAGACAGAAAGAAATTAATTAATTAGAAATCATTGTGCCCAATGCATTGACTTATCAACTGAACTCAGCTCCAGTGATTGAGGCGAGATGGGCAGCAAGCAAATCAAATAATAAATTTGTTAGTCATACTTAGAGTTTAGTATGCTCTGTGAATTCCAGGATTGGCCTGTAAGTAATGGTTTGCAGCTCATATTGTGTTAGTCTAGCAAATAGTAGTTAATGCATAATTAGTAAACTATTGATAGAAGAGAGTATTTGTAGGTCAAGGTTAAACTGTGGGTTCCTTAGTGCTCTCAGAGCTTGGTTTTTTCTTGCAGGCATTTCATTACTCAAGTAGGTAACATCAGTGTACTGATGATGTTACCTAGTTGGGTAATGAAACGTATGCAAGAAAACAAACAACCTCCAAGACCACCTAAGACCCCTTTAATAAACTATGGTTAAATAAACCATTGCACAGTGTTGTGTGCGAGTCTAGGACAACTCAGCATGGCCAATTCACCGTGGCCAATTTGCTACAGGACAATTTGTTGCAGCCAACTCACTGTGGGACATCTCGCTGCGGGACAAGAGTTACACTAATGTCGAAGAAATGGTGGAATAGAATCATTAAAGAAAGGATGCAAAAGGAGGGACAAAATGAAACGTGAATGACAAGAAGATAAAATATTTTTAAAAATATTTTAAATTGAATTGTTGAATTATCCTGCAGCAAGTTGTCCCACAGCGTGTTGTTCCACAGTGAATTTGCCGCTGCAAGGTTGGGCATTGCGAGTTGGCCACAGCAAGCTGTCCCATTCCGTTGCATGCACGCTCGTTCCATAAATAGGTCCATGGAGCCTGGGAAATGCTAAAAAGCCAGACTGTTAGAATAGGGACATTCCCGCTTCCCCAAAAGACTAGTAGAGTTGAGTGTGTTTCCTTCTGAAACCTTCACCCCAGGAAGTCTGATTCCACGGCACTGACGTCCTTTTCTGTCCTTTTCTTCTGAAGGCTGTGGCGTTGGATGCGCTCTCCATGGAACAGCAGCTTCCCCCCTACCCGTTCTTCACCCAGACAATCGCGCAGCAGCAGCAGCAGGCACAGACCCAAGTGGCGAGTGCTTTACCACCCAATGCTTCTCTGATGCAGACCTCGGGCTTGCAGAGAGGCGTTCAGCTCCCCCCGCTCTCAGTCTCCATCCCTTCCACAATCCCACAGTCTCCTCCGGGCAGCCAAACCCAGACTTCGATGGGGATAGACATCAATTCGGTAAGCTTGATTGGGAAGAGGAGTTGGGACCTCCAGCTTCCTAGACATCTCAGACAAAAAAGCATAGGAAACAAGAAGAGGCTTGATCAGAGCTGTCTGTTTCCTGAAAAGTGTACGGTTTGGGATATGTTGAGACTGCAATTCAAAACTGCACGGAAATATGTGATTTATTGCCAGTCCCCCCCTCGTAGCCTTTGGAAAACATAGTCTTCCAAATATCATAGAGACTTCTGTGAAGGGACTGGATTAGAAATCTTATCAGAGATGAATGTGGTTCTCAAAAGCCTTGGATAGGGACTGAGTTTTTGAATGATTTTGAGATAAAGTTTCCACCTGGAGGGAAATCAATACCTCCCACAAGTTGAGCTTGATGACCACGCAGATATGTTCACATTAAGTTGATCTTGGCAACAACATAGAAATGGTTTGTCTGGGCCATTTTCCAGAATGTTTTTTTCAGTCATCCATTGTATAGACTGTGAGTGCACTGTTGGAAATGCTGAAGGATCAGGTTAGAGATAGATCATCCTGGAGAAAATCTATCTATGTGGTTGCTAAGAGTTGACAACAGCTGGACTGCATGTAATTAATCAAGATAATTATGGTGTAAACCTTGGTCCCCTGCCTGAGGAGGTCAACCAGGCGCTGCCATCTGTGAGGGAGGTCTGCTCCTTCACCCCAGTCCAACAACTATGGAGTGATTTGACATTTTCCCTTTTTTTTTTTTAATGCTTCTCGGGGTAGAAAACATATCCCGAAAATGACACC